TATATATATATATATATATATGATGAGCAGTATGTTTAAAGAAACTTAATTGACTATAAGGCTATAAAGATTTATAATCAATTATAAGTATTAATTACGAAAATAGAATAAAAATTATTAAATTAGATTCAAATGATGTTTTAATATAAACAATAATTTTTAAATATTGTCTCAATCCTTAACATCTCATAGCTACCTGATTAGGGTTGTCAAAAACAGTTATTTGTTCGTGAACGGCTCGTGTTCGGCTCACTAAGCAAATGAGCTGAACACGAACACACTTTTTGAGTTCGAAATATTAAGGAGCAAAACACGAGCTGAGTCTGGGCTCGCTCATGTTCGCCTTGTTTACACCCCTAATAATAATAAAAAAAAGGGGAATTTAGCAAATAATTCTTATATATTTACATATCTCGCACCTAAATTTTTCTATTTACATAAATAGCTCTTTGATGTTCTGATGTTGATCTGCAAATATCAAAAAGTTGGGTGTGGGATATGTAAATACACAGGAATTGTGTGCTATGATTGTAAAAGCCTGGCAAGGCTTCATCTTCTTCTAATGGTTTCTCAATTTTCTCTACGTCTAGGTTACAGGCAGGAACCGCTGCAATCTTCCCTAATTCCTGTAAATTGAAGCATTTTCTATGGCGGACGCCGTGAGAAGCTCTAAATTTGCGGTAAAGAGCACCAAAATTATGGCTGAGGATTTAGTTCAAATCATGTGAAGGTTTTGTCTGTGAGATATATGGTATTGTATTCGGATAATATCGTATCTGATCACTGTAAAAGTTGAGATGTTACGCTCTCTGGCTTCTGTTTTAATTTGCTAACAATTCATATCATCAAAAGATTTGATGATTATGTTAAGCTTTTTTTTCCGATCGTCTGCAATATATTGAACTTGGAATAATTGACTGTGCAGCTACACGGTTGTGTTTTGTGCTGTACCAATGGCTATTATGCAGCGTCGAGTAAGGGTTTGAGTTTTTCTTGGTGGGAATTTGTTGGCCACCTAATTCCAATCGCGATGAGCAAAAAAAGTGATATATAATATATAAAAACAGTTTATGCAGATTCGCCCAATTGATATTGATTCGTGTTTCAGTAGCTGCAGTTTTCAATTATGAGGACGATGATTAGTTCTTTATAAGAGAAAATTCAGAGTCTAATCTGGCGGAAATCAAACAGTAGCAGAACTTTCTTCTTCTAGGTTGATTTTTTTTTCTGGACTTCGTTAGATTGTTTCTTCGTTTTGATAAATTGAGAAATTTTGTCCCTTCAAATGATTGCCATGTTCAAGTACTAATATTCTATCACCTGCTGAAAATTTTCTAGTTCTCTGATTTCTTGTATTGATTTAATGAAGTTTTGGTTTATACTCGTTGGATCCTGAATTCCTGGTTTGTCGTGAATCACTCTTAAGGAGTGTAAGATAAGAGAAACAGAGAGAAATGCACAGTAATTCCTGATTTGCGCCATTTGATCTCCTCGAGATTTGCATTGGTACTTTTTCAGTGTACAATACTGTATATTTTAATTCTACCGTATTAATATTTCAATATTCTATCTACAAATAACTTGCCTCTTATCATTTTAATTTTCTTGTAAATTGCAGCATTTTGTTATGGTTTTAACTCCTTATATTGTTTTATTTTAGGGGCATTTGCATACATACCACCCAATTCCTATGTATTTACATATCTAACACCTAAACTTTACTTTTTACATGTATTCCACCCAAATCTTTCATACTACATAAAAAATATCACCATTTCAACTTTTGAAGTGAAATACACCTTTTTCATGCTTAGCTAAGGTGTCATCTATGTAAAAAAGAAAGTTTAGGTGTTTGATATGCAAATACATAAGAATTAAGTGTTATGTATATCAATATTTTTTTTATTTTATATGTATGATTTTCAGTGCCAGTATTGTTTTTGTTGTTGTAACAGAACAGAACAGTTATTACTATATCCTGAAAGATTGAATGATACTGAGTGTGCTCTTTTTCTTTGATTGAACTCTGGTTTCAGGTGAAACAATCATCCTTAAAAACAAACTCTTATCAAGAAGGAAGTTCTGTTCAGAAGCTGATGAATGAGATCTGTCATGGAGAAAATACTAAAAATGGCACATCTGGTGTTGTTGCTCGATTAATGGGCATTGATACTTCACTGCCAAAAATTGGACCAACGGTCCATACGAAGGAATGTTTCGACGAAAATTTAAGACAACAAACTCCAAACATGTCAAATTGTAAGGGTGCTGAAGTTGCTTTGGGCTCACTTCCGAAGATATCGCCTTCAAATTGTAAGCAGCAATATTTCATCCCATCAACAAAAAGCTTGAGTTTGACAAAACCACCCCGCCGAGAGCATCCGCACGAAGAGCAACTAAAGAAATTCAAAAAAGAATTTGAAGCATGGCAGGATTCCAAATTATGGGAGATTTCAAGCAACCTTTGTCATTACAGCGGTGAAGATCTCGAAAAAGAACATTTTTTTGCCCTGGAAAACCTTAAAAAGGAGAAAATGGCAGCATATGCAAACACTTCTCAAAGGCAGAAGAAGCCTGTAGACACAGAGGACTGTATTTCAGTCAATAAGCTTAAAATTAATCAGAATGATGGAAATTTTGGCATAAGGAGAGATATAGCAGGTAAAGGATTTGAACTTGAGTCAAGTGACAAATTTCAGGAGAAAAATATTGCACCATTTTCACCCACAAGGATTGTGATTCTCAAACCGAGTTCTGACTCGCCGGAGGAGCCACAGGGTGGCTCGCCTGAGGTGGTTGTTGAAAAGGGCAGAAGCATGGAAGATTTTCTTGAAGAGGTGAAGGAAAAGCTCAAATTAGAAATGGAGGGTAAGGGAAGAATTGATTCAACCAGGAGGTTTAGTTTAGGCCACACTTCCCTACATGAAAATTCGAAGAACCTAAAAAATGCAGCCTGGGAATCAGAGAAGCATGGGGCAATGCTGCGAAGATCACAATCTATGATAACTTCTAGGAATTCATTCCATTGTGATGGAGAGAAATCCTCTAAATCCATCAAGAGTGCGACCAGAAAATTCATATCTGATAGACTGAAAAATGTTTTAAATGCAGATTCAATTACTGCTTTCTCCAACGAGGGAAAAGATGATAGCTTTTGGGAGGATAATAAAGCTATGAACGAATCAAGTCCTAAGAATTTAAGGCTTGAACAGATGAAAGTGGTGTCATTGGATGATGAATCTTTGTCTCCTTCAAACTTTGTTGGATCATTTTCTGCTTCTTTCTCAGAAGCTCAAAAACTTCAGAAACGTGAAGAATTTAAAAATGATTCGGTAGTTGTTGCCAAAAAGAGAAAAAAAGATGGCTTCAGCATCAAAAGCACAGTTTCAAATTTGCGACGGAATTTGGGTCTAAAAGCCAAGTTTTTTGCAAAGAAGGTCCCTTCAATGGGGGATACGGCTGTCGATGAGGTTCATTATGTGAAGCCGGACGAGGCAACTCCTTCAATTATTAAAAATTTTGGTATCGTGCAGGTATTAAAATGATTAAATCATTCTAATGCTCTATAAGCTTTTCTTTTTCTTAACAATGATTTTTTAATGTTATATAGGACAACTCAACAGAAGTGCCCCCAAGTCCTGCTTCGTTTCCATGCAGTCCAATTAATGTGCATTATAGTCCTGTGTCGCCGCTCGACGATCTTTTTGCCGATGATCGCTCATCGACACAAGTCTCAGGCGAGTTAAGCACGATCATTACAGGTGAGAACTATTTTACTGCTTTTGTGGTTATCAAATTGCAACAGCTTCAGTGTTTTTAGTAATTTGTTACTTTTGTTTCTTAAATGAATTTTAGATGACCGTCTTTTAGAAATGTCATCCATATGAAACCAAGATTAAGCATTGTCAATTTCACATAATTTTTTTTTATTACAGAAAGCTTTTCCAGATTATTTATTTACATAAAAAACTTGTGTTTTTTCTTTCACTCAATTTCTGGGCGATCCATGCTGATTTTTCTACCTTACTCTACTTACTACCAGAGTTAGGAAGCCAGCCCAAACTTTCTGAAATGGAGAAATGTGGAATGGAAACCCAAACCCAACTTCACTACAGTAATGAAACAATTCTGCCTGAAGCCTGCGCAGAAGCTTACATAAGAGACATCCTTCTTGTTTCAGACTTGTGCAGTGCTTGTTGGCCTTTAGACCAACCAACTTCAAGGCTGGATGGGCAAATAAATCCAATCTCTTCATGTCTTTTTGATCAAATGGAACCGAAGAGCCTAAACTCGAGCAATGTAGATGATTACAACTCAACATTAAGCCTCGGGGACATCCATATCGATATTAAGATGTTTTTAGACTTAGTTAAGGAGGCGCTGCCAAGTGCATTTGATGCGCCCCTGACTCAATTCGTGTCGAAAAGATCTACTCGTACTCGGACACAGTTTCATCATGGAAGAAGACTGATTGATGACTTGTTGGATCAGATTCATGTTTATGCAAGTCCTAAGATTGATCGGCCCAAATCTGTGGATAAGTTGGTGGTGTGGGATTTGAAGTTGATGCCTTGGTCAGATGAATCTAATGGAGAGATAAGTTCTTTATGTGGGGAGGTAGAGTGGGTGATCATTAGAGAGTTGATTGATGATTTGTTATTAGATATTTTGGTTTAGTGGTCACACAATATGTTATGATTATATACATTTTTGTGACATTTTTTATTTATTAAAAAATTAGCTGGTTTAGTGGTGCTATAATTTGGTATTATGGTTATTTCTGTTTTTGTGACGTTTTCAGCCTCAGAGAAATGTTTTAATGACTTTTTCTTACCCTTATTCATAAGGGTAAGACTGATTTTACTCTAATGAAAATTTCATCAGTATTCCATCCTGTATATCTTAAAAAGAATGGTTGAAGGCTATTATGCGAGCCCTCAACCATCTTCATGTGCCTAACTATTGGAGGACCGCCCTCATTGTCTACAAATTGGCCAGAGGGGGATTCAAACCCATGACCTGAGGAGACTTATGACCTTCAAAGAGATTGCTCTACCAACATGGCACTGCTGGCGGTATGTGTTATATATATATATATATATATATATATATCTGTGTG